TAAACTCGTCAGACAGCCCGTCGCTCCGATAACGGCGAGCAAAACATACCTCAAGGCACCAGTACAGGGAGTTGTAGCCGCGCCCACCGCACCTCTCGAACTGGGTGCTATGATTTGCCCGCTCCACGCAGCCACAGTAGCAGCATACTCGAAGCAGGGCGTCCTCCTCGAGCAATACCTCCGCCTGCAGTGCCCGCCCTCCCGGCGCACGCGCGTCCAACCGCATACCGCCTGTCAAACGCAGCGGGGGGCGTTTGTAATTGATAGCGAGCAGCGCGTCAAGCGTACCGCCAGGTACTCGCGACGGCGTCATCTCGATGTCCGGAACAACCCACAACAGTGGCTTCCCATGGGGAGAGAGCTCGGCGGGTGAAGTGGAGTTAAGGGTAGTGACGTAGCAGACTTCAAAGGCGCTCGGGCCCCAGGTAGACACCAGCACGTACTGGAACGGGTCGATATGCGATTTGCGCGCGAGGGCAAAGGGAAAACCTGTGAGTACGGGATTGATGAGGTTCCCCTCCGCATGATAGTAGGCTTCAATCCGATCACCGATGCAACGGACCATGGGCAGCTCTATAGGTGGAGAACAGGACAGAGTGCAAGCCTGTGATATCTTGAGTCTTCGCTTTGTACTCTTCGAGCAGGTTGTCGAAGGATGCCGCCGGCTAGGCGAAGTAAAGCTGGGAAACTGCCGAGAGCATAGCCTGAACTTGGATTCCGGGTGTCGGGCCTCCGGCTGTGGTACTCCATCTGCATGGCTATTGACCTACAGTCGTCTGATCGTCAGGGTAAAGTAGAGCAGTAAGCGTTCGCATGCTGGCGCACCGGTGCTAGATAGAATGAAACCCGAAACGGTTGCGCGAACACTACGAGTTCATCAAACGGTCAGTCGCATGAACGGAGAACCTGTCGACCAGTACAAAGCGCTGTAGCCACTCCCATTACATCTCTCGAGTTGCTCTGAGTCCAGCCCGTGGTGCCCATTCCCTCTAGCTGCGTAGCACTCGGAGTAACCAAGGCCGAAGTCGTGACTCGTCGAGCAGGAGCAGATCTTCAATCACAGCGGAGTTTCAATATCTCCCCTTTGCCCCTGTTGCTCGACTACTTTGCATTGGCTGTCGGGTGTGCCACGGTGCAACTGGCTAAACGACTCCGAACATCGTGCGCCTTACCGTTGACTTTCAGATGATACATTCCAACAAGGGAGAACCGTCGGAAGGATTGGAACTGCAGTATTCAATCTATTTCTACGCGTCCATCACCTTTGACCATCATATGCTGCCGTTCTCCCGTCAACCTATCGCCTTCTGTTGTGCGAACGACTGTCTTCACGCTCTACAGTCTGCATGAGGAGATAGCTTTTTCCTCCTTCGCGTCGTCAGCAGCACATCCTCGATTTACACGCACCCTCAAGGATGCCTGCCGTACGGTAGGTTCTCATTGACGGATCCTCGTCTCGCCCCCCACGTCGAATACGCACTGTAGACACCATCGCGTCCGGCATCAAGCTCAATACAGCTCAATGTTCAGGCCACTACACACTTTCTGTCTCTACCCCACGGATGCGGGATCGCCAGCGTAGCGCATTCCCGTGCCTTGACGCACGAAGACGACGATTTCGTATTCGAGATGATGATCAGGGGCGCGTACCTTTTCAGTGAGCAATGCATCTGTTCGCGATGCCATCAGGAGCGGGAATGCTGATATAAGTATGCTATCATCTAGCAGCGCCCGCGTCTTCCGTTCCGTCTAGTGTCAAGGTCATGGATCCAACTGCACAGATGGCCCCTTCTCGGTAGTCAGTGTTGATGACGGCAGTTCAGCTGGAGGCACAGCCAGAAACAAATGGGACGCTCCTTTGGAGATGCCGGCCTGGATCATGCCGTTTAGGTGGCTATGACTTCGGGCATGAAACCAACGTGGAACGCAGCTTTTCTTGGATTCTGCTCTCATCCTTGTGCCTGAGCTGTTAACTTCCTCTATCACAACTGTGAAGGCAATCTCACACTATTTGGTGTCCTCGTCGTGTTTTAATGGCAGAACTGGGTCCCCATGCCCTCGCGCCCTTGACTCGGTCGTGGCGCGTATTCAGCTCGCACCTGGCCCTCCGTCTTCCTCCGCCGTACAACCACATCCGGGCGGCACACACCATCGATCAAATCTGCCCGGATGGGCCAAGACACATCCATCGCATGACCCTCGTCATTCAACACGTTGAGTCGAATCTATCTACATATGCATGATCATTCCGATGTCAACGTGTGACTCATAGCTACCATCTGAGAGTGACACACATATCCCGGGCACTTCTGGTACCTGACACGCCTAAGAATGACCTCGGATCGTTCCCTGGGACCCCAACCTCTGGGTTTACTACCCAGTTCGGTACTCGCATATTTCGGGAGATGTCTGACAATGCAGAACTTGACGCGACTTCTATCAAGACCAGTGCCTGTGGCAATTCAAACCACAAAGACATATGTAATGCGCGCTCGGGGCCAGAACCGACGCGCAATGCTCGCTGAAACGGAGGACAGTGACACTCGCGCTGAACTATCTCTCGTACCCAGTACGCCTATCGCTTTCTCATTCTACCCTCGGCGCTCATATTTTCAGCAATGAGCATGGAAACACGCATAATTACGTCTCTCTCAGTATCGGTCGGAAGTCTGTCCGCCCTCAATGTTCATCGTATTTGCGAGTGCGTTGCAGGTACGCGCTTTCACGTCTCGCTCAAACATGCATGCTCACTGTTCTTCCCGTCATTGGCCCAGCCCCGCCACCTGAACCTGTCGGAGTTTTTGCAGAGGCTCTTCAACTTCACGAGCAACTTCGCCAGCAGATGGATCTGGAAGCCGCGGAGAAGGCCATTGAATTATTCGAATCGCTTTTGAAGCGTATACCTCAGGACTCGTCAGGGTGTCGAAGCAAGGCAACCGAAGACGACGATTATTCAGGTGAAAGGCAGCAATATCATATCCTAGGGCATCTGAGCGACACGTTTCTATCACAATTCTCATACACCCGTAACCAAGCCGACCTAGCGCAGGCTGTGGAGCGCGGTCGAGAAGCTTTCGAATTTTGCCTTGCAAAGGAGATGACATGTCCAACCGTGTTAACGCTCTACGCGCATGTTCTCGACACAAATGCGGACAAAGTTTCTCGTCTGGGAGAGCGAGAAGTTGCTGAATCGTTGTGCCGTCTCGCTATTTCACTCTTCGACCCAAGGCATCCGTTCAAGATTACCGCCCGTTTGTATCTTGGATGGATTCTCCTACGACGCTTCGAAACAACTGGCTACCGAGCATACGTTGACGAGGCAATCGATATCCAGCGCCAGACGTTGCTCGAGATACCCTCATCCGATGGCCACGTGAGGCATTTGCACCTTCATGCTTTAGGCTGGTTTCTACTTCGTCTTCATGAGTCCTCCAATGATTCTCACGATATGGAGGAATCTGTCGCCTGCTTCGAAAGCTCCTTACAGGTTTGCCCTCCTACCCACATCAACCGAAGGATTCTGTTCGGCGATCTGCTTGGAGCATTGTACAGCAAATGTTTCTCATACGGTAGCCTCGAGGACCTAGATAGAGCCGTCGATCTCGGCAAACTCGCCATTGAAACGGATCGTTCCAACGGTCGGCCACGAACCGCCACCATGAACACAGTGGCAAGTCTCCTCAACCTTCGTCATCAACTCACGCTATCAGACGGACGCGACATAGAGCACGCGCTCGAGCTGCGCCGACAAGCCGTTGAGCTTTCGAATCCCCACTCTAGAAACTACTGGATAGACCTCGTCAATCTAGCATCGACTCTGAGCCTGAGATTCTCCTGGATAGGGGAATCGGTAGACCTGGAGGAAGCCATCCGATTCACCCGACAAGCTGCAGATGCCATACATAGCGATCATCCCGTTCGATACTACCCTGCTCGTCAAATGGCGAACGTGCTTATACTTCGATTTGCCGAGACCGGAGAAATCGCTGACCTAAACGAAGCGCTGGACTGGAGTCGCACCGCTATGGCTGCCATCTCACCCTCCCAAGCGCACTATAGCGGTGTCGCCTTGGATATGGTTGCCCATCTCTGCACACGCTTCGAACGCCTTTGTACTCCGAATGATCTCGAGGAAGCCATATCTCTATCGGAAGATTTGTTGCGCAGAGCGCGCGCCAGTAGCGCCCATAAACCGGACGGATCATATTCCCTATCAAAGGCGCTTCTGCTCCGCTCTCAGCACGATGGCAATCTTCCGGATGTCGAGCGTGCAATTCAGGAGTTAGAGCCTGTCGTCTCGCAATATTCAGAGCGCTCGGCTGGGCCGGAATTTGCGCGCACGCTTGCCCGATGCTTCTCGACTCGTTTTCGCCTAACTCGGGATGCCGATGATGCACATCGCGCATTGGGAATCATGAACCAGCTTCTCAAGGCCGTACCTCCCGGTCTCCGCGAGAGGTTCCAGTGCCTGGTAGATATCGCCGAACTCTACATGCAGCGCGATGCACCCTACTATAATCTCTCAATCGCGTTGGATCATCTTATGCAAGCACTGATAGATGATGATAGAGATGTTCGTTCGCGGCTCCAAGGTGCTGCCGACATGCTCGAGGTGCTTCAAACACATCATCAAGACACGCTCATGGGGGATCGCGGGATGCTATCACGACTCCTCGATATTTACATACAGACGATCAGCCTGCTCCAGCGGGTCGCGTATTTTGGCGTTCACTTGCATTCTCGACTCCGGTCGCTCAAGGCCGCACAGAACGTGGCCCTCCGAGGCGCATCAATTGCGTTGGTCCTATGTCTTCCCCACAAGTCCCTCGAGATTCTCGAGCAAGGTCGTGCGATTTTCTGGACCCATAGCCTGCGTTTACGTTCTCCATTCGACGTCGTTCCCGAGGATCTCCGAGATCGCCTCTCGACTCTCGCACTGCAATTGGACTCCGCCGCCCATGCGTCCCATTCCGCAGATGATCCCCGCATACTAGAGGTTGAGATTGCTCAGCGGAGGCGGCAAACCGAGGAATTCGACTCGCTCTTGAGACAAGTCCGCGGTCTACCTGGCCTGGAAAGGTTTCTGATGCACGACGAATTTGCGGCGCTAACAAAGGCGGCGGAAAGAGGGCCCGTCGTCGTGTTGGTTTCTAGCACGGTGGCATGCCATGCTATCATTATCAAGCGTCCCGATGACGCTACAAGCATCCCCATCGACCGGTTACCCTCCGCTTGGCTCGCTGAGTCGGGGATAGCATGGAGATCTGCTATGGAAGATGCGAGAGCTGACCTTGGTGGTCGTCTGAAAGTAGCAAAGCCGGCAAAGCGACACACACCGGAAAGCGCGAAAGGGGCCGAGATTCTGCGCAGGCTGTGGGTGGACGCAGTGAAGCCAATCCTCGATGTTTTGGGGATCCGGGTAAGAGCCGTTGGGCCGTGCCTATGGGTCCACAATATGCTCACATTCTGTTTTTGCAGCCTTCGGTGGGTCGAAACCGGCCGCGAATATGGTGGTGTCCAACTGGACATTTTGTTCACCTCCCCATCCACGGGGCGGGCGCCAACGGAACCTGGTGCTCTGACTACGTCGTTTCCTCCTATATCCCGACGCTCAGCTCCCTTCGTACCACTAGGGCGAATTACGAACCGATTCACAAACAAGACATCCGAGCGCTGGTGGCCTCAGTTCGCCGCTCGCGCATGCTCGAGTGGAGCGAGCTCCCCTCCACCCGCAAGGAAGTCGAAACGGTCCGATCGGCGCTGCCTGAAGAAGCACTGATAGAGCTGCCTAGAGGGGACGATGCTTCGAGTGATGACGCCGGGGACGGAATAGCGGCAGAGACGCTGCTCAAATTGCTGCCCCAAGTAAATGTTCTTCATCTTGCGTGTCATGGCCACCAAGACGGGGACAACCCATTGCAGAGTGGGTTCGTCATGCAGGATGAGATGCTGACGATTGAGCGATTGATGCCCGTTCCGTTACCGCGCGCATTCATGGCCTTCTTGAGCGCCTGCGAGACAGCTAAGGGAGATAAGGCGAGCTTGGTCTTTTGCGATTTCCCATTGTTGATAAAAGTGCCTCCCTCATCAGGAACAGCCCGACCAGATTGTCCATCTTGCCGCCACGATGCTCTTTGCCGGTTTCAAGAGCGTCGTTGCTACTTTATGGTGCGATAGGCGATCATATTATTGGTCGCGAGCAATTCCTGCATGAATTCATGCTGAGTAAGATTGACACAGGTCTATGGAGGATGTCGATGGACCCATGATAGCACAGTCGGTATATCAAGATATCTTCCGTGGCGACACAGATCACGTCAATCCGGACGATGTAGCGTATGCACTTGACATGGCGGTGCAGAAACTGCGTCTAGTGCACCCCGAACCGAGTCGATGGGCACCGTATATACATTTAGGGATGTGATTCCATGTTAAGAACAATGATACCTGAGAGGCTCAATATGGACTGTGGCCACTCAGGCTAAGACGCGTCATAAGACGTAGTGCAGTGGATTATGACAGAATTTGGTGTTTCAAGTAGGGCGATTGGTGGGGCAGAGGGTAACTTGTATCGCATACATGGTCATGATGAAACTTTGCGATCCAGCGAGGTGAATGCACGGCTGTCACACGTCTTGCTAGCGCACTGCGAAACTGTAGAATAGACGAAGGGGTTCAGACGAAACCGCAGACACGCACATTGCTGCACCAGTGCGAAGTGCTTGTATCCGCTTTTGACACGCTTCTCAGCCGTCTGACAGTGGCCAGTCCGCATTTTCTAGGCTGTCGCGGTAGCAGCACATCCTAAGCAGTGCGTCCTCGTCGAGAAAGATCACCGCCTGTAAACCTCCCGAACGTTACGAAGCTGTGGATAATATGGCCCATCGAGGGTCGAGCTCCGAAGAACATAGACTACCCGTTGATGAAACGCGGTCTCGTGGCATTCTCGCATCTTCGTGTGCTCTTTATCACCGACGGCCACCTCCGAAGCGGGGAACTCACCAATATCCTTCGGCTGTAAAACAGCTCACGGGGGCCGTGGATGCACTGTGTGCGCCAAGCCGTGCGTATTGACGTGCGGTGCGGCAACCGGTTGTTCCGCTATTGGGACCGCGCCGGAAATATACCTACCTACCTACCTACCTACCTACCTTCGATCTCTCCCCTCCATCCCTTTCCTCGAACTCCGCCTAGCATGCTCGGTATTCCTCAATCTGCCGGAAACATCCGTGCCTGTAGTCCCGGGAAGGAATTTGCTCGTTACGAAACTGTACATACAGGACATGATCGACGCAGGCGATACCACCCGGCACTTGTTGCGACTGTCTGAGGGAAAAGAGATCTCGCTCGACCTCGAACAGCTGACACTGGACGCCTTCATCTCCACAAGTGCCATCGGCTTCGCGAATACGTTCCTCCTTCAGAGCAAGTCGCTGACTTTGTTTCAATTTGTCGATCACGGATATGGGGGTAAGCAATCTCGCAAGTGAATCATGGTTTATCGATCCTCATGACGCGACGCAGGGGAAGGAGGTTGCATCGACTTCACCAATAGTCCCGCTCTCGCCACGATCACATACGATCTACGTTACCGGCACGACCAATCGCTCGACTCTCTCTCGCGGCTCCGTCATTCTTTTGCCACGATCACGTCCGCGGTCTTTGAGTCTCTGACTCTCAAGGTATCCTTCACGCTCAATGACACGCCGTCAAACCAAATACGCGACTTCCTTACAGCGCTCCAAGCATCCCTCCGCGCCAGCCCGGAGTTCGTCCGGCTCGCTCAACTGTAAGTCCATTTCCTCGGCGCTGGGGATACTCCCGTGGCTAGACGCCCACGTCACGACATGGACAGTCACTTTGAGCGACAATATGGATTCCTCAGAGAACGCGGTGTCCAGCTCGAATCTGGACCGACGATCCCCATCACGAGCTGTTCCATCTCGTAGAAGGCTAAGAATAGTCAGCCTGAATGCAACCCACCAGCTGCGCCGAGAGCATTACATATATTCTTCGCTTCCCGTTTACGCGACGCATATCCCATCGGACACCCTCACTGACTATGCGTTTTATTGTTGTATCTCTTGGCCATTGTGCGTTTTCGTATACGTATCCCAGCGTATCAACCACCCCTTCGGAGCTGGAGATACCTCTACGAGGCCCGCTTCGAGTTCAAAAGGCGTCTCGCAATTGCGGCACGGTATGGAGGATACCTCTGTCGGATATTAGGGGTAGCAACACCGTCTGCGAGTCAACCAGAGTAGATATGTGGTCCGGATCGTTCTGCGGCGTGCAAGGCAATATCGTGACCTCTTGGAGGTGCGGGAACCGTCGCGAGTCGGCCAGGATATCGTCAATGTCGTCCCAGAGCAGAACTTGGTAGTAACAGGAGTCGTTCCAATACTCGACGCTGATCGTGACGCGTTCGAGCAAAGGGCTCTGTGCGGTATCGAGCAACTGTGAGACCCACGTCGCGCAGATTGGGCGTTGGACCATGAGGTTGATGGGCACGCGCAAGCTAAGGGATCGAAGCTGTGCACATCGCCCTAGGTTCACGAGCTCCGTCATCGGCTCTGCATATGTTTGAGATGAGACGATAACACATAAAGATTATGTTCAACACACGTTTGGATGGGTATATAGGCGCGGAGAACGCGAGGTGCTCTAGTTGAGGAAGGTTGTCGAGTAACCCACGTAGCGCGTTCCAATGTCTTTCGACGCTATAGTCGATGAAAAGGCGTTGCATAGAAAGGGCTGGTCTGCTCCCCAAACAACGATAGAAAAGGTGTGTCAGGTCTTTGGGGTTCCAGGGGCAGGGTCTCATGTCCAGAGAGCGAAGGTCGATAAGTGTTGAACCGGGCACGGAGTCATCCTCTGGGGCGTCCAGATCTAATGTCACGTTATCCATCCTCAGCGCGGAGAGGCGGGGAAAGCTCCCAAGCGCGGTCATCAAATCATGCAATGACGCGAAGATGCAGCCCGTCAGACTGACGACCCCTACATTCTGGGAGCAAAGGATGGAAGAAAGCGTGTAGAGATGAGACTCGGTGATCGTAGAATGAATCTTTGCTTCGTGCTCGCTGGTGCCCCTGGACAAACTGGCGAGAGCGAGCTCGTCAAGATATGTAAGTTGGAGCAGCAGATCACGCATATGATTTTGCGTAGTCCCATCTTTCCCTACGGGAGGCGCAGTCGGTGGTCCGGATTGGAAAAGGTAGGTATGAACGTGCAGTTTGCGAATGTAACGAGCGATTTCGGGAATGTGGTCGAGCATATCGAGGACCGTCCGTACGTGCTCGTCCTTCACGAGCGTCATCCTCCTCCAGAATGATGTTCGCGCGTGAGGAAGCATGCGTTGGCAGGTGAGCGTGCAGGCTCGGACGTCAACTTCATCGTCCAGCTTCTCGATGATAAACCCCAGAATTTCTGGCGGCAGCATGGTGATATCTCTCTTGAGAATGCATTGCATAGCGAAGGTTCGGGGCTGTTGTCGTGGCGTCTAGTAGAATCGTGCACCTTGAGGTGGTCATGATTTGAGTCAGGTCATCCGACGGTGGTCACAGGTTGAGGCAGTCGCCGGGCTGCTCGAAATGCGTCGCCGGGGCGCGTCAGTCGCTCCCTCGCGACCGTTCTACGTAGTGGTGGTACTACACAGACGCGCTCTCATCGGTAACTGGCTCTGTGCCCGCAACTCAGGGTGAGGCAGAACAGTGCACCACCCAATTTGATATCTGCAGAAGAAGCCCAGGGAACTGGAGTTGCGCAGAAAGAACAGTGAATGATTATCGTAACACCGAAAATGGATATTGCGCCGAATGGTTATCATTTGTCTCGACTATCGTAACTTACAAGTCACAGACAAACGCATGCGGAAGAAAGGAGAAAATGCACGCCCCGCCCCCCAACTCCGAACATCGTGCGCATCAGTGCCGGCATTTAGAGGATACATTCCACAAGGGAGTGTGGTCGGACGCGTCGGAGGCATTGCGACTGTCGTATCGGACATTGACCTGCATGCCTCTGGCTCTCGATGTAAGGATCACTAGCGTTCGCACACTTGCGCCGATTTAGGACAGAAATTCTGAGACGATAACCCCTGAATATAGATTTCACCATACAGACAGCAAACACGGCGCGAATATCTCACCCAAAATGTTCATCTGCGATTTCGCGATGACAGCTTGCGAGCGAGCAACAACAGCGCACGGCCCATGAATGTTCTTCTCGAGCACTGCAAGCTCGTCAGACCGCCCGTCGCTCCGATAACGGCGAGCAAAACATACCTCAAGGCACCAGTACAGTGAGTTGTAGCCGCGCCCACCGCACCTCTCGAACTGGGTGCTATGATTTGCCCGCTCCACGCAGCCACAGTAGCAGCATACTCGAAGCAGGGCGTCCTCCTCGAGCAATACCTCCGCCTGCAGTGCCCGCCCTCCCGGCGCACGCGCGTCCAACCGCATACCGCCTGTCAAACGCAGCGGGGGGCGTTTGTAATTGATAGCGAGCAGCGCGTCAAGCGTACCGCCAGGTACTCGCGACGGCGTCATCTCGATGTCCGGAACAACCCACAACAGTGGCTTCCCATGGGGAGAGAGCTCG